TTGTTCCGTGTCTTGCCTCCCTGGTGGTCCAGTGACTAAGTCCTTGACTGCTAAGCAAAAGGCCAGCATTTCAACGTCACCAGTTGTTCCATGGGAGAAGAGGTGGCAGTCTGCTTTAGGAAAGACGTACAGCTTTCTCAGATGGACTCCCTTCACGTGGCAGGTCTCTGAAGTTCATGCCTTTGTAGCCCTTCCAGCTTCGAGAGGGCGATTCTAAGACGTTTTCAGTTGTGAGCAGGACTCCCTTCACTTACAAACTACAAGCTACTACCTCCACACTCCTCGATGACTGCTCCTCTCCCCACCGAAGCAGAACGGGGAGAGCTACCATTGGGAATGGAAGGAAACGCTGCTTTTCCTTCCTAGGGCTCTGGTCCCTCTCCTATGCTTCTTGCATCCAGATCCTAGTTAGAAAGCTCCCATTCAAAACAGCCCAAAGCAGGGGTTGGAATTGTTTGGTGTGCTTGCTTGTGGGCTATTTATAAATGCTAATTGTGGACCAACACATTGGCAAAGCAGGGAAAGCAACAATTATCTCAAATTGGGAAGGATGCGGAAGGCAGGCGAGCGGCTGGAGGGCAGCTGTGAGGCCTGGGACACTTGAAAGGGGCAAGCCCAGTGTCCTGTCTGGGGGCTGCATGGGAGCGAGGGCACCACAGCCAGCACTGGTGCCACTCCGCAGACTAAAGGGGACATGATGGGAGCACCTGCACTGTAGAGCAATGGCCCTCCTTGGTAAGATCCAGACCAGGAGCCACTCTTCCTCAAGGAAATGTGACACCCTTTGATCTGCTCCATGGGGCTTCACTTAAATAAGCCGAAGGAACGAGCAGGAAAACCTTTCCCAGATGAACTCAAGTTAGAGCACCAACCACGAGACAAAACAGACACATCAAAACCTGAATAGTAACCCTTGAGTGGATGCATCACAGAACTACGATCCCCAGGGTTTTCAGTGGCTGGCCTTTCTGAGGCTGATCTTTTCCTCTGAGGTGCCCTGGGGGTAGGCTTGAACGTCCAGCCTTTCCATACACAGTGGAACCTATTAATCATTTGCATCACCCAGGGACTCCAGATGCTTTTAATCCCATTTATAAACATAAAAGTGCTTCAGAGTTATTTTAGAGGAATGAGAGGGATGTTCAACCAGTCAGGCAGCATTCAGGGCCCCCATGACTGTTTTGTACATATGATTATCTCTGCAGGTCTATCTAGATAAGATAGGTGAGATAAACAATCGGGAGGAGAAAACAATGGACAGATGGTTCAGGGGGGACATGGGAGAGGGGGAGATGGGGGAAAGGAGGTGGGTATTAACAAATATAGGAACAAGAGAACAACAAGTGATGTAAAATTGATGGCGAGGAGGGTGTAAATGAAAACTAAACATGATAGTGGGACAAGAGGAAAGTAAAATGTAATAGAGAAAAGAACTAGGAGGCAAAGGGCATTTATAAAGGTCTAAATACAGGCATGTACATATATAAATATATTTATATATGACGATGGGGAAATATTTGTGCATATATTTATAGGCTTAGTATTAAGGTAGCAGATGGACATTGAGCCTCTACTCAAGTACTTCCTTGACACAAGAACACTTTGTTCTAATAACCTGGCATTCCATGATGCTCACCTTCCCAACACAATCGCTGAAGACAAAGCAGGTGCATAAGCAAATATGGTGAAGAAAGCTGAGGGTGCTCAACTATCAAAAGCATCTGGGGTCTTAAAGGCTTGAAGGTAAACAAGCAGCCAACTAGCTGAGAAGCAACAAAGCCCACATGAAAGAAGCACACCAGTGGGTGTGATCACGAGGTGTCAATGGGATAAGGTAGCAAGCATCAAAGAACAAAAAAATCATATCATTGTGAATGAGGGGGAGTGCCAAAGATTGGGGACCCAAAGCCTATCTGTTGGCAACTGGACATCCCCTTACAGAAGAGTCACAGGGAGATGATGAGCCAGTCAGGGTGCAGTAAAGCAACAATGAAACATACAACTTTCCTCTGGTTCTTAAATGCTCCCTCCCCACCACTATCATGGTCCCTATTCTACCTTACAAATATGCTAGACCAGAGGCTGTACACTGGTACAGATAGGAACTGGAAACACAGGGAATCCAGGGCGGATGATCCCTTCAGGACCAGTGGTGAGAGTGGCAATACCGGGAGGGTGGAAGGAAGGTGGGGTAGAAAGGGGGTACTGATCACAAGGATCTACATATAAATTCCTCCCTGTGGGATGGACAACAGAAAAGTGGGTGAAGGGAGACATTGGACAGTGTAAGACATGACAAAATAATAATTTATAAATTAATTATCAAGGGTTCATGAGGGTGGGCTAGGGAGGGAGGGGAAAAATGAAGAGCTGATACCAAGGGCTCAAGTAGAAAGCAAATGTTTTGAGAATGATAATGACAACAAATGTACAAATGTGCGTGACACAGTGGATGTATGTATGGATTGTGATAAGAGTTGTATGAGCCCCCAATAAAATGATTTTTAATAAAAGAAGAAGGAATTTGGGCTCTTGAGCATTCCTAAGCTATGGAAGGGTAGC